CCGGGCGCCCGCTCCCCTCCCTCCTCTCGGGCGGCCGCCCCAAAAGTCAGGACTCTGCAGCTAGCCCACCAATGGGCAAACTACAGCCCGCATACGGCCCGGCGGACCTTTTAATCTGGAGCGTGGCAAACATTGGCTGTCAGGATGTAGGAGGGGCTGCGCGTGACGAACTCCTCTCCTCTCACAGTCCGCCCTGAAGACCGGAACGGCGCGGGAACACGGCGAGAGGAACGCGCAGAGCAAAGGTAAGTGAATTGACACAATATGGGGAATGAATTACTATAGGGGGGATGAATTACTATATGGGGGATTAATTACTATGGGGGATGAATTACTATATGGGGGATTAATTACTATGGGGGATGAATTACTATATGGGGGATTAATTACTATGGGGGATGAATTACTATATGGGGGATGAATTACTATGGGGGATGAATTACTACATGGGGGATGAATTACTATATGGGGGATGAATTACTATATGGGGGATGAATTACTATGGGGGATGAATTACTATATGGGGATGAATTACTATATGGGGGATGAATTACTATATGGGGGATGAATTACTATGGGGGATGAATTACTATATGGGGGATGAATTACTATATGGGGGATGAATTACTATGGGGGATGAATTACTATATGGGGGATGAATTACTATGGGGGATGAATTACTATATGGGGGATGAATTAATATGGGGGATGAATTACTATAGGGGGGATGAATTACTATGGGGGATGAATTGCTATGGGGGATGAATTACTATATGGAGGATGTATTTTCAGTTTTAAAAATGTGGCTCTCAAAATAAATTTCAATCGTGGTTTTGGCGAGATTTGGCTCAGTTGAAAAAAAAAAGGTTTCCCACCACTGGTTTAGATCAAAGCATATTCATGTGTTAGAATGGCTCATTCAAAGTCCAGACCTAAATCCAGTTGAGAATCTGTGGCAAGACTTGAAAATTGCTGTTCACAGACACTCTCCATCCAATCTGACAGAGCTTGAGCTATTCTGCAAAGAAGAATGGGCAAAAATGTAACTCTCCAGATGTGCAAGTGTAGAGACATCCCCAAAAAGCCTTGCAGCTGTAATTTGAGCAAAAGGTGGTTCTACAAAGTATTGACTCAGGGAGGCTGAATACAAATGTATGCCACACTTTTCACATATTTTTAAAAAATGTAAACCATTTCTCATTTTTCCTTCCACTTCACAATGATGTGCCACTTTGTGTTGGTCTATCACATCAAATCCCAATAAAATACATTTATGTTTATGGTTGTAACATGACAAAATGTGGAAAATGTCAAGGGGTATATCATCACACCCATAGGCTGGCTCTGGACATGAGGCAGCAGGAACAGTCCACTGCCGGACGTGGGGGAGTGCTGTTATCTAGAGGATGGAAAGATCAGGTGAGTATAGGCTTTGTGTTCATCTCTAGACAAAATGAGCAGTTAATCCATGCATGGGGAAAAAAAACATTCCTGGAGTTCTGCTTTAACTAAAACAGGAAGTGAGGGAAAATCCATAGTTTTCACCACACCAGTGTACCCATTGGAAAATTTCCATTCTTTTACTTTTCTGGGAACACTTTCGGTAATGGCCGGGGACACAGACAGCAAGAAAAAAAATAACCTGGCAGGTGTTCTAATTCCTCTCCAATCCAAAACTAAAAAAAGCTATACGTTTTGTTAACTAGTTTACTCAGAAATGAGTACTGTCCGTGATACTTTTTTTTTATTTGCACTAACATATAATTTTCAGGACAAGCTTTCTGGGTATGTCTCTCTAGTTTAGTCAGTAATTTTCAAGCCAAAAGAATTGTTTTCTTCACATGCTTTTAAAAGGAAGAACGTATATTGTATTTTGCCGTGTCTTTTCAACTAAAACATAATCAATGATAACTAATGTCATTGAGAGCTGCAGCTTCCCTGCTTGCAGCCGTCACTGACATGTTATGTAAATAAGAAGCAGCAGGGGGCACTGTGGGAAAACACATGGCTTCAGATCTTCCCGGAGAGTCGGGTGTGAGTGACGTAATACGAGCGACAGAGGTCAGAGGGACTGGAAGAGCAGAGTGAAGAGACAGGGCAGGTGAGGGGGTGTAGTTTGGAGGAGTCATGGGGTACAGTAATGAGGGGGTGCTGTGTCTATGGAGCTGGCTAGCTCGTTATGCTGTGTGTTTCCCAATGACGTATTCAGATGTGGTACTTGTCACCACCATGTGATCATCTTCTGCTATAGTATATACATCCCAATAGGAGTCTATTCATACGGGAACAGCATTCCTGTACCTTAGACAAGTGTGATAAATAGAAAGATTTAATGGCCATGAATCACATAATAAAGACATCCCTGTAGGAGTAGTAATCAGTACACAGGATCCATTCAATTTTTATTTCAGGTACTTATATAGCACCATCAGTTTACACAGCGCTTTACATATATATTATACATTCACATCAGTCCCTAACCTTCAAGGGGCGTACAATCTAAAGTCCATTATTGTTCTTACAGCCGTCATTGCATATACATTACAAATTAACCACTTGCCCTCCAGAGGATTTACCCACCTTCCTGACCAGGCCATTTTTTGCGTTACGGCGCTGCGTTACCTTTACTGACAATTGCGCGGTCATTCAACACTGTACCCAAATGAAATTGATGTCGTTCTTTTCCCATAAATTGAGCTTTCTTTCTGTGGTATTTGATTGCCTGTGCGTTTTTTATTTTTTGCGCTATAAACAAAAAAAAACTGACAATTTTGAGAAAAAAAAAAAAACAATATTTTGACTTTTTGCTATTAAATGTGTCCAATGAAAAAATGTAAAAAATCGAATTTCGTCATTAATTTGGCCAAAATATTCTGCGACATGTCTTTGCTAAAAAAAAAAAAAAAATCCCAATATGTGTAAATGAATTGGTTTACGTGAAAGTTATAGCGTCTACAAATAGTGGTATATATACTGGTATTTTTTTTTTTACTAGTAATGGCGGCAATCATCGACTTATAGCGGGACTGCGGTGGGCATTCTGACACTGGGGGGGAACTGACTTGGTGTCACTGATATCCCCAGTGACACCAATACAGTGATCAGTGCTAATGGCACTGGGCAGGAAGGGGTTAAACGAGGGGGAATCAGGGTTAACTGTGTGCTGTTTCACAGTATGCTGTGTATGTGCTTTCCACTGTAAGCACACTGCTTTGTATGGCTCTGCTACACACAGCCATACAAAGCAGTGTGCAGAAGCTGACAGGGGAGAGATCTGTATTGTTTTCATACAGGTCTCTCTCCCATTGGAGCTACTCGGCGATCACTGAGTGCTGGCAAGTAATCACCAGCCCGGACTCAGTGATTGACAGGCAGGGCCATGAATGGCAGAGCAGGTAGGGTGCGCGCCCCCCCTGCCCAGAACTGCTAAATCACATGTGTGTATATATGTGTGTGTATATATATATATATATATATATATGCATGCATACACACACACGTGATATATATGTGTGATTTTTGCACACTCCTGCCCTGTAGCAGTATTTCTGCTATAGGACGTAGGGTAAGCAATTAACCACTTGCCTACCGGCACCTTTACCCCCTTTGTGTACAGGCAATTTTCAGCTTTCAGCGCTGTTGCACTTTGAATGACAATTGTGCGGTTATGCAACACTGCACCATATGAAATTATAATTTTTTTCACACAAATAGAGCTTTCTTTTGGCGGCACAAGCGGAAATTGATGAGGAGGCACTGCTAGGCAGCACTGATAATCAGTGTCCTGATTATCAGTGCAGATGTCCTCTGTGACAACGTGAGGAAAGTGCTGCCGATAACCAGCAACTGTATTTACTTTGTGATCAGCTGTGTGATTGGACACAGCTGATCATGTGGTAAAAGGCCACTGTGATTAGCTGTGTCCATGGGACACAGCAATCACAGACAGCGCCGGGTGCACACCATTGGGGGCGCGCGGGCTGTGAGTTCTTGGAGGATGTCATATGACGCCCTCCAAGAACTGGACAGCCAGTTAAGGGCTACTTTGCGCCACAAAGACATCCTTAAGATCCATTTCGGATGCGTTTCTGCATTTGCTTTTTTCTCCAAATGCTTTTTTCTTGGGGGTTTTTTTCCACACTGTATTGGGGTCCGGTGCATTTTTGGTGCGTGTAGGTGCATTCCGGTGTGTTGTTCCAGGACAGTTCTGTGCAGGGAAAATGGTCTACCTTTTTTTCTGGAACTGCAAGCACTGGTGTAAACTACGCCATTGAAAACCATGCAACCTACTTTCTATGCGTTTCTGATGCAGGATAAGAAAGCATGCATGTGGTGTGAACTAGCTTAGATTTTTCCTTACCTGCCACTGCCCCACCCCCTATAAACAAACTAATGCAGACTTCTCCCGCAGCTTGTTCAATCAGAGAGCACTATCTTGTATTCATTTAAAAACATACATGTGAATGGTGGCAGTGCTGAGTAAGTGACCACCCCCTTGTTGTCAGAATACAGAGGGGAAAGCCACTCAGCACATGACCCAGCAGGTAGCAGCAATCACTGTAGCAGCGCACAATAGTACTGTGATTGTCAGCTACCCCATATGTTATAAGAAAGGCAGTTTAGATTTTTCTATCTGCAGATCCCATATTTCTATAGTCATAAGTTTTAATTTAGCTGCCCGCAAGGCTGTCACCTGAAAACATTGTGTGCAGCGAAATGCAGCTCTGAGGGAAAGCTCTACAGAACCAAATAGGCATTGGAAGGCTACAGTCTTTCCAGGAGCTGTTTTAAAGCCCTGCTTAGCAGAACTGCAAGGAATTATGGGCAATAATCAAAGTCAGGTATATTGAGTGGACTTTCTAATATAGTATCAATATTTCCTGGATACCATTATACCATTGAAATTTTTATTTTTCTTGTCAGGAATCATTTAATTCATGCTGAGTTTAAACTGGTGTTCTTTAAAAATGTATTTTTAGATAAAAATTTGTCCTATCGCCATGTCTGCTGTACGTGCGACTGTCCATGCCAAATGGGTTGTAGGAAAAGTGATTGGCACAAGCATGACAAAAACAGCAAAAGTCAGAGTGACAAGAATGGTGCTAGACAACTACTTTCTAAAGGTAAATATATGTGGTTTATTCGTTTACTTTCTCACCTGTTATAGTTTTTTGGGGTGTTGTTTTTTTAGATTGTAAATATTAAAAACTCATAGTGATTATTTGGATAATACAGATGCCCAGTAAAAGGATATTTTATTTATTACAGGTATTTTATATCACCAATAATTTAGTTAGCACTTTATATAATGAGCATTCACATCAGTTCCTGCCCTCAAGGAGCTTACAGTCTAAGGCCCCTAACTTACATGCATACTAAGGCCAATTTGGAAGGGAAAAAATTACCCTGACCATGATACAAACTGTACTGACTATGATACAAACTGGGGAATATAGTGCTTCGTGGCAGAAGTGCTAACCACTAAGCCACTGTGTTTACTCTTTTTTCTCATACTGATCATTTTAATAATAGCATATACTAACAAAAACTTTTTAATTTGAAAAATCATACCATGCTTAACACAATTATAAAGTTATTTATATACACATTCTCTGACTGTGTTCCTTTTCAGCATTTGTAGGCAGACTAATTTGAAATCTAGTAGTCATTCAGTCCAACAGACGTTTCTGAGATGCCAGGAAAATGACATTTATGTTCTAGTTACTCTTTCTCTAAAACTAATACCTAAAATGAAGGGCTCACAACAATAAACTTGAATACTGTCCTGCTGCACTGCCCTGTAGTAGTAGATGAAATCGGTCGATGAAGGCTATAAATAAACCAACACTTCCAAAGCTGTCAAATTTTTTTGTCCTCCCTCGCCTTACTATGGTTGCTCTTAATGACCCCTACAGATACACATTACAAGTGTACACACAAGCAAACCACTGAGTGCAGAGGAAACAGGAAACAAAGGCTCCTGGATATGTGGGTTCATGAAGACTCTTAAAAGTGGAAGTAAAGTCTCATTAAGAAACTAAAAAAAAAGTGTGTGCCCCACCCCCTGCAGGTTTTGTAATGTACCGCATACTAGTACATTATGAAAGACTTACCTACAGAGAGTCATCCAGAGCTGGGCTGTCACGGCTCTCTGTGGTCCACAGCGCCTCCATGTTAGCCCGGTCTTCCTACTCTTCAGCCGCTTGAATGGCCGGGCTTTGGTGGCTTCACTCCTGCGCATGCACACGGCAGTCACTTCAGAGCAGGGGCGGACTGAGCATTTGGAAACTCGGGCACTGCCCGAGGTCAGTAGGGGGCCCCATGAGATGCCCCTGGTACTTTTTTCATAGGCTTTTTTGAGTTTGGGCAAGGACACAGGCGCCCCATGATCCCCCTATTGCCCGGGGGGCCCCATGAGTTGTCAGTCCGCCCCTGCTTCAGAGCGAGCCGTAAATGCGGTCTGAGCTGTGCATGCGCGGCTCAGATTGCATTACCCGCTGACAGACAAGGGGGAGGGGGGGGGGTAATTTATGACAGAAGAGACCTCTATGGTCTCTTCTGTTATAAAAACCCATGCCTGTCAGAGGATTTTAAGCACAGACTTAATTACAACTTTTAAGTGATTGTAAGCCTAAAAAACAAGCAGTCCTGATCCTCCTCCTCTCGGGTGCTCATGGCTCCTCCCTACTGCCAAGTATCCCCATAGCAAGCCACTTGCTGTGAGGGATTGCACGGGGTCAATCCGCTGACACACAGAGCACAACTTGGCTCTGCATTCCTCCCCCAGGCTCCCATTTTTGCCTCTCTGTCCAGTGAGGAGAGAGTGAATGGAGAGAGCCGTTGCTTTTGGGTACAGTTCTGGTTCACGATCAGAAGCAGGTGAGTATAAGGGGGATATGAAATCTATACTTTATGGCTTTTGGTAGACCATTGCCTGTGTATGATAAATTGTTGAGCACATAACACTAACTGCTTATTTCCTTATTCAGTATTTCAACAAGAGGAAGACCTATTTTGCTCATGATGCCCAGGAGCAGTGCACAGTGGGAGATATTGTACTGCTGAAAATCCTACCTGAACGGAAGAGTAAGCATGTTAGGCATGAACTGGCTGAAATAATATTCAAAGTGGGCAGAGTGGTTGATCCCCTAACTGGAAAACTGTGCGCAGGCACCACATTTCAAGAAAGTGTAGAGGACATTGATGTGAATAGCCTTGATGAAAGGCTTCAGAGCATGCAGCTTTCTGCAAGGTCAGGTAGTCAAGAAGAAAAGAAGGCTGACTCCTGAAGACTTACCTGTTTGTAGAATACCCTTTTGTGTGATGTCCAATTGTTGTCATTTACAAGTAATTAAAATATTTTTTCCTACGTGTTAGTACATTGCTTTCATTTTAACAGTAGCAAATATTTACGAAAAGCATTCATATAATCACTGTCATATAATGTATGTAAAATGTATAGGTACTAGCACAATATTTTGGTAATTATTAGAATGACTATTCACTCAAAGAATGTGGAGTCACAGCAGATCACCTATATATGACTCTAAGTGGGAGATTTGTAGATTGTATGTCTTGTTATTCTTACATGGAAGGCTTTGTTTAAAAGACCTCTGGGAACATTTTTTTCTTTTCCCATGCAGTGGGGCTGTGCCCACAGTGCATGGGTTTACTGCTAGTTTTTGTCTAGAGGATTGCAGAGTGGAGATATACTTACCTAATCCGTTGATCCTCCAAGCGCAAGACTGCTCCCCTGCATGCTAGCAGTCTTTTGAATGGACTGCTCCTGACGTCATCACGCCCCTAGACCGGCTTTGGATGTGGGGGAGCGCAGTTTACTGGACCATCAAAGGATCGGGTGAGTACAGCCTTTCAGTGCACCCCTAGACAAAATGAGCCGTTAACCCATGCAGTGCTGGCACAGCCCCGCTTCATAGGAGAAAACATTTTTTTCTTGGAGTTCTTCTTTAATAACATTATACAATGGAAATTTGCTGAAACATCTAGCAATGCTGTAACATCTAGTAATCTCTGAGGTCTTATCAACAAACTTATATTGCACAATGTTGCCAATCTAATATTACATAGTTACATAGTTAGTCTAGCTGAAAAAAAGACAAAAGTCCATCCAGTTCAACCATTAAAAAAAAAAAAAAAAAAAAAAAAGCTATAATCCTACATCCACAGTTGATCCAGAGGATGGCAAAAAACCCAGAAAAGTATGATCCAATTTGATCCTGCAGGGGAAAAATTCCTTCCTGATCCCTGAGAGGCAATTGGACATTCCCTGGATCAACTTTACCTATAAATAATCCAGGCCTTTTTTAAAGTAATCCACTGAGCTGGCCAGAAACAACTCTTGAGGAAGTCTATTTCACATTTTCACAGCTCATACTGTGAAGAAACCTTTCCATATTTGGAGATTAAATTTCTTTTCTTCCAGATGTAAAAGAGTGCCCCCTTGTCCTCTGTGATGACCTCAGGGAGAATAACTCTACACCGAGTTCACTATACGAACCACTGATGTATTTATGCATGTTGATCATATCCCCTCTTAATCTCCTCTTCTCAAGAGAGAATAAATTCAGTTCCTCAAATCTTTTCTCATAGCGGAGCTCCTCAATGCCTCGTATCAGTTTGGTTGCCCTTCTCAATACTTTCTCCAGTTACCCAATATTCATTTTGTGAATTGGTGCTCAAAATTGAACTTCATATTCCAGATGAGATCTTACTAATGATTTGTACAGGGGTAAAATTTTCTCTCTCTCTCTCGATCTCTCTCTCTCTCGAGTCTATACCTTTTTTAATACAAGCAAGGATTTTGCTTGTTTTAGAAACTGCTGCTTGGCATTGCATGCCATTATTAAGCTTGTGATCTACCAGAACTCCCAGATCCTTCTCCACCGTTGATTCCCCCAGTTGTACTCCCTCTAGTATGTATGATGCATGCATATTCTTAGCCCCCAAGTGCATAACCTCACATTTATCAACATTAAAGCTCATTTGCCACATAGTTGCCCAATTAAACAGTGCATTGAGTTCGGCTTGTAAGTTGGAGACATCCTGTAAGGGCGTTATTCTACTGCACAGCTTGGTGTCATCTGCAAAGACTGAAATGGGATCTGTAATCTCAGACTCTATATCATTTATAAAGATATTAAAAAGTAAGGGTCCCAACACTGAACCTTGGGGTACACCACTGACAACCCTAGACCATTCAGATTATGAATCATTAACCACTACGCTCTGAATACAATCTTTTAGCCAATTTTTTATCCATTTACATACAGATTTTTCCAAGCCTGTACCTTACACATTAGCCGTGTGTGGGGGAACTGTGTCAAATGGCTACATCTCTGTTTTTTACATGCGTTAACAACCAGCTATGTGCACAGCTTGAAAGACAACTGGCAGTATAATCCAGCCACTGTCTTGAGTTGTACTTGCAGGGCTGTGTGGTGGGTTGGGTGGGTGCCATCTGAGGCTACACTAAAGATGGTGTCTGGTATGGACTCTCAGTCCTCAGTGCTGCCCCTCCACCTTTTTTCCATGAGGCTGTCACCTTAAATAGCCTAATGGACAAGTGTACTTATATGCAGGGTAATGCATTCCTAGGAAATCTGAATTCTGTTACAATTTCATGTTTCTAGTTCCTCCTCAACATATACTCATTTAATTTGTAGCCATTTCATTTTTGTGGAACCAATTTATTTACAAGCACATCACAGAGGACATAAAAGTTTTCAAATCAGTTCCCGCAGTGAAAAGATTTGCTATATTCATACACAAAAATGGCTAGCGTCAAGTTAGCCTTCTAGAATGTGTTTAGATTGTGGGTTAAAGAAACACAGACACATAGACAATCTGCAATTAATGAATCTTAGGACCTCATTGCTAAGTAAGCTGGTCATAGACTAAGATATGAATGGATGTGCTTGTGTGACCCAACCATCTCAGATTGCCTTCTTGGCCAGTTTCTCTGGTCACATGAGCAGCTCTTGTTTGGGGTAATGAAGTAGGGGGATCCGCATGCAGATGTAAAGAATAGTGAGGTTCATGCAAGGTTGATCCCTTTTGATCTTTTGTGTACTGCCCCATTCAATCTTTGGACAGTCTATATGAGTTACGTTTTCAGAATAAAGAATATCATTTGGTATTACATGAATGTTTTCTAAAAAATAAATGACCTTTACATTTAAAAGTAGTTTAATACCAAATCATTAACAGTAACCAATAAAATACCCAAAATAACAGTTCATTTGAGGGTATGTTATCTGGATTGTGCCGATGTTTGCTGTGTTACTGCCAAACACATAGCATGTCCAGCAATTTCACAACCATGGGCTATTATACATTCATTATTTTCATTTGTTTGGAAAGATGTGAAAGAACTAGAGATGATCTTGGTTTCATAAAGTAAACTGAGCTGTGTAAAAGTACAAAGTTTTGTAATAAAGGCAGATAGGAAAGGCAAAAGAACATAGTACTGACATCCTCTAATTTGATCTTGTAGAAATATTTGCTTGGGTGACTGCTGCAATTATATTGTATATTGTCAAAGTATTGCCATATGCTTTCACCAATTCAGTTTGTAACGAAGTGCATATTGCATTAAACTGACCTGAACTAAAAAAAAGTGAAGTTTTTCTATCTTATAGAGAACATCTAAAACTGTTAATTGTGCCTTAGCAGTACCCTGAATATCTATTGTTTTGATTCTTACCTGAAACAGAGCAGTGTACTTTCTGTTGTCTGCACATGAACACCCATGTTCCCCAGCCTAAAATGCAATGTGATATAATCTACGGCACTGCTGCCTCTGACCACTAGTTTGATATGGTTTTTAGTGAGATTTAACATGGTCAGTACAGTGTTGTTCACTGGTTTTTTTCATGAAGAGGAAGGTGTCCCTGAGGGGCTGTAGTGCATGGATCCGATCTTCCTGTTGTTCTTTATAAATTGTTCACTTATTATTATTATTATACAGGATTTATATAGCACCAACAGTTTACTCAGCACTTTACAATATAATGGGAGACAATAAAGCGACAATACAGTTCAGTACAAGAGGGATTGGAGGGCCCTGCTCTTTGGAGCTTACAATCTAGGAGGTATGACTTAAAGCGGCGCTCCACCCAAAAGGGAAAGTTCCGCTTTAAGCCTTTGTCCCCGGCTCTCCATTAAGGATTGGCACCTTTGGGGAGTGGGTACCTGAATTTGCAGGTACCCACTTCCATTGGATCACCTAGGCGATCGGAAGCGGATGTTGTCCATCTTACCCTGCTCTTCCTTCCGGGTTTGCTTGGTGGCTGGTCCTTTGAATGGCTATGTCGCGATGATGTCACTTTTTCGCATGCGCACTGGAGTCACAGTTTACGGCACAGAGCTCTGAAGGGACAGCACTGGTATGCCATCCTTTCAAAGTGCATGCTCCAATGATGGCTGTATCCAATGTGAATATCTCCCAAACACCGGATGTTTAGAAGATATTCACTGTACCTAAAGGTAAGCCTTACCTGTAGGTACAAGTTCAAAAGTGGAGTTTACTACCGCTTTAAAGTATATTTTTTCCAAAAAAAATTCCTTTAAAAATAAACACTTCGCAAATATTGTGTGTAGAAGAGCAATGTCAGAATTGTCCCAGACTGGAAGTGGTTCAGGAGTGTGGCCACCGCAGATCACTTTTCAGATCATTGGCTAATGTGAACCTAGCTTTAATTTAAATAGGTTTTTATTGAAGATTTTCAAAGTAACCAGCATAAAAATGAAAAGTCGTATGTGATACACGTCACACAATAACATTGGTACATAAACATATAGCATTAATATAAACTAAAGAAAAAGCGAAAGGGTACATATAAAGCATAGTACACAAATGTGACATCACAAGTCACAAAATGGCAAATATGAAGAACGGGGTAATAAGTCCCATTCCATCTGCAGAGGGAATCGTAGAACAGCCCAGGAGACTTTATGTTTCAGCACTAAAGCCAGGAACATCCAATGCAAAGTAAGATGATATCACATCAGCAGGTTAACAGAAGAATAAAGAGAAATAACATAGAAAAGAGAAAAAGATCAGAAATCTGATCCCTTCCCTCCAACGACGAGCACACCAGTCATGAAGGTGATACCTGTAAATAGCGAATCTATGTTCCAAACCTTCTCAAACCTGGGCTTTTTGTCCAGAAGCAGACTCACATTTTCTCATGCAGCATAATCCATATGAGTTTCCACTTCATGACAGCTATATTTACCACTAGGGACTTCCAGCAATTTTACCAGTCAA